ATTTTTAACACGATCAGATTGTTTTGTTACATTCCGCTTTCCATTCTGAGATTCTCTAACTCCTAAATGAATTTTTAAAATTCGCATATCTTCAGGTTCATATTTTGTGCTCTAAAGTTTTATGGGTTTTGACAAATGCATGGTGTCATGTATCCACTATCACCACATCACACAAAATAGTTTCATTACCCTAGAAAATACCCCGTGTTTCACCTATTCAACCCTCTCTCCTCCCCTTGAACTCCTGACAACCACTGATCTTCTTACTGTTGTTATGGTTTTGCCTTTTTCAGAATGTCGTATAGTTGGAGTGACACGGTATGGAGGCTTTCGGACTGGCTTCTTTCATGTAGCAATATGCCTTTAAGGTCCCTCCATGCCTCCTTGTGATTTAACAGCTCATTTCTTTTTATCACTTTACCTTTTTATTACTGAACAATATTTCATTGTATAAAAAAACAGTTTGTTTATCCATTCACCTGCTGAAGGACATTCTGACTACTTCCGGCTTTTAGTGATTATGAACACAACTGCTATAAACACTTGGGTACAGGGTTTTGTGTGGAGAAAGTTTTCCAATTGATTGGGTAAGTATCTAAGTACAATGACTGCTGGATCATATGATAAGACTATGTTTCGCTTTGTAGGAAACTTGTGGCTAGTCATTTCATTTTCTTAATAAGTATCTTTTAAATTATAAACATCTTATTTTAGTAAAGTCCAATTTATCAAATTTTTTTTCTTTTATTTCTCATGCTTTTGACATATGCTTTACCTAACCTGAGGTCATAAACATTTTCTCCTGTGGCTTATTCTAGAAGTTTTATAGTTTTAGCTTTTTCACTTAGGTCTATGATTCATTTTGAGTTAATTTTTGTGTATGGAATGAGGTGAGGTTTCAGTTCTCTCTCTGTGTGTGTGTGTGTGTGTGTGTGTGTGTGTGTGTGTGTGTGTATCCAATTGTCCAAAAAAGTACAATTTGTTGAAAAGACTATCCATTCCCTGCTGAATTTTCTTGGAGCCTTTTCTGAAAATTAATTGAGCATTAATGTATGTTTATTTCTTACAATTACAATGTTTTATGCTACATGTAATTCTCTAGTTTTTTTTTTAAGTATTCATTTATTTATTTATTTATTTTTGTCCTTTTTGAGACTGGCCACAACACGCTCAGCTACTGAGCGCTGTGAGCGCACCGGTCATCCCTATATAGGATCCGAACCCGCGGCGGGAGCGCTGCTGCGCTCCCAGCGCCGCACCCTCCCGAGTGCGCCACGGGCTCGGCCCTGGATAGTATTTATTGAATTAGTACATTTTCCATATCTTCTGTCTCTCCTTCCGTACCCCATGCTCCTACATTGAGGGAATTATTTTAGGCAACTGTTACAGTAGGTGGAGAGAGACGTGATGGTGGCTTGGGCCAGAGGATACTAGTAGACATGGTGAGAAGTAGTTGGATGTGAGAAAAAGAGACAACTCCAAAGGTTTGAACCCAAGCAACTGAAGAGTGAAATTACTATTAACTAAAATGGAAGACAGCAGGTGGAGCCAGTTTGGGCTTTAGGGATCAGGAGCTCAGTTGTGAATATGTTGTTTCAGATGACTATTATACTTGATACAGAGATGGCCAGTATGTAATTGGATGTAGTCTGGAATTCAGAGTAGACATTGGTCCCAAAATTACAAATTTAGGAGCATCAGCTTTTAGATGTCTTTAACATCCATGAAATTGGATGATATCACCTAGGGAGTGAGTGTAGATAGAAAAGAAAAAGGCTCAAGGACTGAGTCCTGGGACACTCCAATGTTAAAAAGTTAGGAAGGCGAGACAGAACCAGGACAGGAGGCTGAGGAGTGGCAGTCAGCAAGGGTACGGGACAGGTCGGGATGAGCAGGAGGGTGTGGTGTCCTGGAAGCCAAGGGAGGAAAATGTTTCTAGAGTCAGAAGTGATCAGTTCCATCAGATGATGCTAAGCAATCAGGGAAGATGCAGAGTAAAAATTGATAAAGGAATTAGCAATTGATCATGGGTGACTGGCCAAGAGTACTTTGGTGTAATGGTGGTGGGATTGGTGGGGGCAAGGAGGGAGCCTGACTGGCGCATGTTCTAAAGAATGAAAAGAGAGGGTTTTGTGGGATGACCACTTGCCCTGGTTTATCTGGGATCTTCCCCAGCTTTAGAAGGTTTGCATCCTGTGGCTTTTGTTTTCCCAGGTCCTGAAACACTTTCATTCCCAGGCAGACTGGACTGGCTGGTCACCCTAACTTGGAGACAGAAGAATAAATAACTTTGTCAAGCAACGGTGTGTTAGCTGGGGAAGGAAATTATATTCATATCACTTATCTTTATCAGTCTATCTACCATCATCATCTGCTGTAGACTGGATGCCCCCAGCTTCATGGAAGCCTATCCCCACTGTGATTGTGGAGGGCAGGAAATCCTATTATGGTAATTGAAAGGTGGGGCCTTGAAGAGGTGATTGGATTCTAGGACCATGCAGTAGTGAATGGATTAATAATGGTGGTCAGCGGGGTGGTTCTGAGGGCTTTAAAAGGAGAGTCAGTGAGGAGGTTAGGCTCTTGCTCTCTCTCTCTGCTTCCATCATCTTGCAATGTGAGAACCCTGGTTCACAGTTGCCACCACCAGATGTGTTCCTTGGGCTCTGGACTTCCCAGCCTCAGAAACTGTAAGCAATAAATTTCACTTGCTTTATAAAATACCCAGTTCAGTGTATTTTGTTGTAAGCATCAGAAACAGACTAATACATCATCTGTCTATTTTAATATGGAAGCAGTAAGGGTGTGTTTGTGTCCTGATAGAAGAAGCCCAGCAGATAGGAAAGATGTGTGATTGAGGTGTTAGAGGGGAGGGTAGCTGGTGCGACGTCTTTGAGTGAATGAGATAACATACAAGCATGGCACAGGTGCAGGGGGCGCCCACTGCAGCAGGAGGGAAGGCAGGGCGTGAGCAGAGGTGCAGGTGGCTGAGCAGGTGATTGCCTATATTTCACCAGTGAAAAAGCGAGGTCATCAGCTGAGCGTGACTCAGGACTGAGAGTGTGGGAGGTGAAGGTATGAAGGTGAAGGTGCTATGTATTTTTTTTTAGGGCAGGGGGAGCATGAAAGGATTCAGGAAGTAGAGAGTGACTGTCCTCCAGGACCCAGGGCTCTCTTGAGGTGAGTAATCATGGATTTAAAATGAGACCAGTCGGTGTCGTGTTTTTCTCTGGCTACCTCCGGCAGCTTGAGTGCGGGCACAGAAGAGGGAAAGAGTTGGGTGGTTTTGCCAAGGAACTCAGGAAGTGAGAGGGGAGGGGGGGGAGCATGAAAGGATTCAGGAAGTAGAGAGTGACTGTCCTCCAGGACCCAGGGCTCTCTTGAGGTGAGTGATCATGGATTTAAAATGAGACCAGTCGGTGTCGTGTTTTTCTCTGGCTACCTCCGGCAGCTTGAGTGCAGGCACAGAAGAGGGAAAGAGTTGGGTGGTTTTGCCAAGGAACTCAGGAAGTGAGAGGGGAGGAAAGGAGCGGAGGGTGTGATTGATCGTGGGATTTAAGCTGGCCGAGGAGGAAGGAGGACCTGAGGGAAGAAAGACAAGTGAAACCCGGGAGGATCAGTGGATTGTGCATCCCTGTGGGGTTGCAAGATTGCTGGCCTTGGGTACCCAAAGGAAAAATGAGCTGGAAAGAAAGGAGGCGCTGGTCGGAGAGTGGAATAGTTGGGATTATGGGGGTAGCTATTATAACGACAGTGTCTATGCAATGACTGTTAGGTGGTCGGAGTTTCCATGGGTTCCTGTCAACTTGCAGCTGTTCTTTGGCAGCAGCTTGATGAGAGACTCCACCCTTGTCCCTCCCTCACAGCAAGCCAGACTCTGTCAGTCCTGGGCTGCTCACCCATTTAGCTTAAAACCCCAACTGACACACCTCCTGGGAACAACATGGATCCTACTTGTAGAACAAGAGAATGTATCACACCGATGAACATTTGCCCATTCCCCCAGGAGTGGAAGTCTATCACGAATGCCTGGAAGATGAGTTCTTTGAGGATGGAATGGTCTACTCCATCCCTGTGTCCTTTCAGCCTTAGGACTGTGCCTTGCCCAGAGCTGGCACTCAATAGATGCTTACTCAAATGATTTATGTAGGGTTGAACGTCAGATGGAGACTCCTGTGGAGATCTCAGTCCTTGCTCTGCAGTCTCCTCTCATAGAGGAGGGATTGGTCATGGAGAGAATTTTATGAACAGGGTTTAGGGAGTGTTTGTGCTGGGCCCTCCTTTGCAGAAACACAGCTGAGGCATGCAAATGGCCTTCCAAGGCAATATAATAAGTAGCCTCTCTTGTCCAAGGCACCCAGAGAAGTTTCCTGCATACTTTCCTTCTCGGCCACTTGAGGATACCCGAGACCTGATTGGCACCTTGTAAACATCTTGAGCTGTCGCGTGCTAGCAGGCAGCAGTGATAAGATGGTTCTGTCCTGCTCTGTATCATACAAACATGCCCCAGGCCACTCTCAGCAGATACCCCAATTCCTGTCAGGGGGACAGTCAACCTAGGAGCACCAGAACACCCCTCACAAGATTGTCACTTGCTGCTTTGAGACATCCTCCAAAGGAACATAGCTCTGATGCAACCCAGGTGGCGAGGCTCAGAGGGAATCAGATGCAGGGAAAAGTCCAGAAACCAGCAGAGGATAGGAAGCCAGTGGAAGACCATGAGAGTGATTTAGGTCTAAGATCCTTATGAAAGGTTGGCTTTGGGGCAGTGAGCTCAGCTGTGATTGTGCAACTGTTCTGAATGTTAGTTTGCTAATCTATAAAGTGAGGATAATCACTCTGGGGGGCTTTAGGCAAAGACCAGAAAGTGGACCCAGAAGCTGTGCGCTTGTGCCCATGAGCTCCAGGCATTGTGTTCCTTTTTCTTCAGGAGCCCCAAGCATTGCACAGCACCGGGAGGATTAGGAGCAGGGGCCAAGGAGGCATGCCCTCTTATCATCAGACTATGATTTTGCATTGGGATTCATCACTTTCCCCATGAAGAGAAGGTTGTGGCTGCTTTCCTCAAAAACTAATAGTAGGAAGGGCCTGTTGAAATGGATGGCGGGGATGAGGGACATGGGAAAGGACCAGAGGTTGGTGACATCTTCCTCTTCTGCTCCTTACTCATCCACGGTCAGCTCCACCCCTTGCTCCACCTTGAGGGACCAAGGCTCACAGTGTGGGTCTGAGCAGCAGCTGCCCCTTCCCTCTGGGAGGCACCACATGGACCCTTAGACTGAGCTAGCCCAGGAGAGCCGGAATTGAGTCCCAGTCTGTTCCAACTAGAGGCATGACCTGGTGTGCCCTGTCCCCTGGTGGAGACTCAGTCTCTTCATCTCCAGGGCTCACAGAGGCTGACTATCTCCACTGGGCTCCATGCCAGCGGCTGGTCTCCTTTCCTCACGTTGCACCCAGCCCCAGAAGCAGCCTGGGCTTCCAGGGAAGGGCCTGCTGTCCTGCTCTGCGATGGGCCCCTCTGCTCCCCAAACCCCACCATAGCCTTCCGTTTGTGCCCCTGTGAACCCCAGGGCTTGCACCACATCCCCTCCCTCCCAGCAGGGCGGTTTCCTTTGTATTCACTTCCCACCCCCAGAGCCACTGAGTGCTGGAGTTACCACCTCCAAAGGCACCTCCTTTCCAACCCCTCTTTCCATCCCTCTTGCTTCTCTCTCGGAAGCTACTTGCTAGCATGCTCCTCTGCCGCCCTCAGGCTCTGCAGAAATCCCATTCCACAGGTTGTAGCTCTCTCAAGCTCAGCTCCCATCCCACCATTTCCTGCTCAAAGCCCACTGATGTCCTTCTGCCCCTGGCTCACTGGATGAACAACACTCAGCACCCCTTAGCCTGGCAGTCAGGCCCTTCTGCCACTGGCTTCAGCTGACAGGCAGAGCCCGGCCCACTGCCCACCCCATTCCCCATCCGCCCATCCCCCTCCTCTCCAGCTTGGCTTTCCCCAAAGCTAAGCAATGCTAGTGGGCACTTCCTCTTTCTGCCCCTCCTCTCCAGCTTGGCTTTCCCCAAAGCTAAGCAATGCTAGTGGGCACTTCCTCTTTCTACTCCCTGGAGAGTCCCATGGTGGTGCTAAAACTTCAGGACTCCATCTAGGAGGTCTTACTCCACCCCTTCCTCGTGTAACTTACCCGCCCCCATCCTTATGTAACCTCCTTCTGCAACTGGAGCTGTCCTGTGTAACTCCCCCATGCCACTCTTATGTAGCCATGAGATTCCTCTGCCCACAACCCCAGGAGGGATTGCAGAATGCATCTGGCCTCAAGGCCCCTCACAGCTCGTCCCTCTCCCCCCGCAGGCCCAGCCTTCTCCTAGGAGGAGCCATCCTCAGGACACCACTGGATGTTGTAATTTGCCATTTCCACCCTTGACTTCCCCAAGCACCCAAACAGCATCGACCCCACTGGTGCATGCTGAAAGAATAAGAAAGTGAGAAAATGCATGCATCATTATAAGTGACTGGACACCGGTGGCTTTTAACTCACCTGGGAGACCTTCATGGGCATGATTTGTAGAGAAATTCCCGAGATGCCTGCGTGGCGACTGAATAGATCTGAGATGCCTGTTTCGGTCACGGGATGGTCCAATTGAAAATTCCCAGGTAGGGAGAATTTTGGAAAATACAGCCTCCTCCTGCTGCTCAGGGAAATGGGAGGAGAGAATAGGGCTGAAATAATGTCATCTGAGAAACTGTGCTGGCCGCAATCTCACTGCAGAATAATGGCATAAAATTGATGCCAGCTGTGTTTACCAAGTGCCTGCAATAAATGCGTCTGTGCCAGGTGCTTTACAAGGTAATTTTATTTCATCCTCATGGTTATCCTGGGGGATGGGAGCTAAAAATACCTTCTTTAAAAATGAGAAAATGGAGGATTGAAGAGGTTAAGAGATTTGTCCAAAGTCACACAGTTCCTAAAAAGCTAGAACTGAGCCCAAAGTTGAAGCTCTTTCTCAAGCTGTGCTGCCAATTCTCAGACTGGCTGTGGCCTGCCCCTGGGTCCATTGAAACAAGAGTCTCTCTGTCTGTCTATCTTTCGCCCAACACATAGCCTTACCATGTTTCCTTTCCTCTGTAGCCCAGCCACGAGGGCCTCAAAGGTCCTGGCACAGGACAGAGCACCACTCTCTCCGAACTTTACCTGTCCATGTCTGTACATCAAAAGCACTGAGGGGACATGAGCTCGCTTATATATGGAATCTAAAAAGCCAAACTCATAGAAGCAGAGAGTAGCACGGTGGTTTTCAGGGGCTGGGGGAAGGGAAAGTGAGGAGATGGTGGTCAAAGGGTCCCAAGTTCCGTTATGCAGGATGAATACCTTCTGATTTCTATTGCACAGCATGGTAATGCGCTATGAAGTATTGTGTACTTGAAATTTGCTAAGAGAACAGATCTTAAGTGTTTTCACCAAACACAGAAAAATGCTACCTATGGGAGGCGATGGATATGTTCATTACCTTGCTTGTGGAAATCATTTTACAATGTATACATTCACTGAAACACCAGAAATATACACAATTTTTCTTTGTAATTATGCCTCAGTAAAGCTGAAAGAAAATAAAAAGCAAAAATTAAAAACCAGAAATGTAAGAAAATAATCTAAGTGATTCATTTTCAGAAATGACTTATCTGAGGGTGTTTTAACTGATTCAGGCCCAGCCCAAAAGTCATCTGACTGGTCTAGCCCATTCCCAGAGGGTCTCTGAACACATAGAGCTCTCCTTGAGATGGTAATTAGTTACTAGCCCCTCTAGTTTTCTTCATTCCCTGGTGTTTCTCCTTTCACAAGGCTCAAGCAGGCCTTTTTTGCAGGCTTATCCTGAGCCCCAGACAAAGGAACTCCTTGCAAGGGGGTAATAAGTTTTAGGCATCCTTTGGGAATATCATGCACCCCGTAGTACTCAGCCAGTGAGGAAGTGGGCGGGGGGGACTTGTGTACTAGGGAATAAATTGTTTGCTACAGCCCTTTTCCATGTGCCTGTTCCGTTCACAGACACCTGGACTTGCAAGGCCATTATTAAAGTCTCACTTCACTGTACCTCGTGTATCTGTGTCCATCCTTTGGCATTGGATAGGTGAGGTCATTTCTCATAAGAAACACAGAAAAGCACATGCGGGATTCTCCTTACTTGGCAGCCAGATCAGGACTCACTGTGTCCACAGCCTCAGGGATGCCTGAGCATCGAGAACGTGTCTTCCCAGCTGTAGTTTCCCAACTGCTTCAGCCACAGGAAGGGTGTTTCCTTCCCTCCACCATTGCTCCTGCTGGCAGCTCCTTGGCCAAAGCTGGGGCCTCCTAGCTGCCCTGGGTGCTTTCTTGGGTGAACCAAGCACTGGGCAGGAGAGTTAGAGCCTCTCAGCCCTCTCTAGGTGAGTGTGAGACAGTTCTGTTGGGATGGAAACCTTCACCCTCAGCTCAACACAGCTAATTCCATGTTCAGTCAGACAGGCCTTTGCCAGGCAATGAAAACTCAGGGCTGAGCAAGGTACACAGTCCCCACCTTCCAGAAGCCCATTGACCACATGTGGATTCATGGTCTAGTGGTCTAGAGCAGGAATGAATGTCTGGGAACATTTTTGGTTGTCACAGCTGGGGAGCAATGCTACTGGCATCCAGTAGGTACAGCATCAGGGATAGTACTAAATATCCTATAATGCACATGGCATCCCTCCAAACAACAGATTTCTCTGGCCCATAACATGCTGAGGTTGAGAAACCCTGGTCTAGACAGGGCCAGGCCAGAGGACACATGGTGATGTAGAGAAGGAACGTGGGAGACAGCATATAGGTCACCACAGGATGATTTGTAATGCCCGGGTGTACAGAGCAAGACAACTTAGCATAAGTAAATCCATTTTGTTGTTCACAAGTTTACAACTCCATTTTGAGTTTAAGTTTAAAAAGTTGAAAAGTTGAAACTGCCAGTAGGAAGTCACAAAACATACCCTCTTGCCTGTGCAAATCCATGAAACAAACAACTTCTGGCAAGAAAGATAAGCTAAAACCTGTGTGTGTAAAGAGAAACTGCTTCTGCCTTAACACAAGGTCAACTCTTGCTTGGACTCCAGACCATCGCTCCACTGCAATGGCTCACCAGATCTACCTTCAAGCAGCCTTGAATATCAAAAGGACTCCTCTGCAGACAAGACTTAGACTGTCCGGACCGCCAACCAAGCAACACCAAGCAACTGGTCTGCTAACCCCTTACCTTTGACTGCTCTCTATACTTGAATGATTGAATTGGCTCCTTGATTTTCCCTCAATTGAAGTGTTAATTTTGTCGATTCCTGTTTGTTGAGATCTCTGTGTGCCATGCCACTAAGTGAAACGGATAGTACTCGGGAGACAGTGTAGCTTACAGCTGAATTGAATTCACGTGATATAATGGAAAGACACAATTGTGGTCACATTGAGTTAATCCTAACCTCGGTTCCATGCTCATAACACCAGGGATCTGGAAGAGCTATCTGGAAATGACAGGATTTATCTGGAGTTTAGGTCAGGGCTTCCCAATCTTTAATGTGCACATGAATCACTTGAGATCTTGTAAAAATGAAGATTCTGATTCAGACAGTGTGGGGTGGGTTCTGACATCCCATATTTCTGAAAAACTCCCAGAAGAAGCCAATGATGCTGAACATAGACCACACTTTGAGTAGCAAAGACCTCGGACACTTGAGAAAAGCAAGCGAGTTGATCACAGGGCATGGCAGAGAGGGAACGGCAGGTGATTGGAAAGTCATGGACTTTCATGTAAGGCCCCTCAAGAAAGTGACCAGTGAAGAGGCCTGGTCTTGCTTCCCTCTGAATTGCTTCCTGGTCACAATGAATGCATCAGCTTATGAACTGGGGGGACAGATCCTTGGTAACTCTCCAACTGTGGGTTTTGTGGAGCTATAGTTTGTAGTATTATGTTAAAATTTGCGCCATGTCTAAATCCTGTTTGGGAAATGCTGGATAAAAAGCTTAGTTAAATATTGTTCAATTCTTTACAACTTCTTAGTGCTTTGAAATGCTAAGGTGAAATGTAAATCTCTCAGAGGAAGATGCAATGTGATGGATATGGTGATGGTGATGATGGTGATGATGATGATGGTGATTTTGTTGTGCTGGCACACCTGTTCCCATCTCGTGGAGGAGTGGATGGCTGAATCTTGTCTGATAGTGTGTGATCTAGTCCCACCCCCTCATGTCATGGGCCCAAAGACCAAAAGTGTCTCAGCTTTCCAGTGGCAGAGGCTGACAGGGTGGCTGTGGAGAGGGTCTCCTTGCATGCAGGGACAGAGATAGCTGGGGTTTTACCTTAGCGGGAAGGGCTGAGTCCATGTGTCAAAATTCTCATTCATGAGTCCCTCTTCTGTCTCCCTGACCTTCCCCATGTCAGGAAGAATAAAGACTGCAGTGCTGTTGCAGATGAAGGGCAGCCAGAGGGCGTAGCTGTGCAGGTGGTAGAAACGCTGGAGCTGGAACCAGCCCAGCCACAGCATCGTGGGCACCAGGATCGTGAGCTCCTGGCTCAATGAGAAGGGTCTGAGCTCAGTGAGCTTTGGGTCAAAGCGATATTTCCATTTCCCTGCCAAGAGAGAGTGCGAGCATCAGAGGAGACCACCAGCATTCAGGGCATAGGGTGCTGGATGTCAGGTATTTCATTCATTTGGGGGATATATAGGGAGGGGCTGCTGTGTTCCAGGCACCGTTCTTGCAGCGGTCAATACAGGTATGCATGAGAGACCCCTGCCCACGTGGAGCTTACATACAGGGGAAAACAAGAAAAAAGATAAACAAGAAAAATATGTGTGAGATGGTGATACATGCCAAGGAGAGAAATAAAGCAAGGGGAGATAAGAAATGTCTGGGAAGGAGAGTTATAACTTCACATAAAGCCCCCCTGAGAAGGTGATATGGAGTGAAGACTTAACAGGGCAAGGGAATGAGCCATAGCGTACCTGGGGAAAGAATATTTCAGAGAGTGGATATGCTATGTGCAAAGGCCCAATGGCAGGAATGGGTCTGGCATGTTTAAGGGACATTAGGAAGCCTGTGTGATTGAAGCAGAAAGAGCAAGGGGAAGCGTAGTGGGAGGTGAGACCAGAGAGAGTATGGGACCATCAATTTCCTCGTGTGTAAACTGGGGTGACAATATCTACCTTACTGGATATATGTGAGCATTCAATGAGATGCTAGAAGTAAAGTCCTGAGCACAATGTCTGGTACATAGTAGTTGCTCAGTAATTGTTAGCTACTAATTTTATTATTAAAATGCTCACTGCAACTCTGCAAAATCTAAGATACTATACTCTTCCCTGGTATCAGTTGCAGAAGCTTGACTGTGGTCTGCAAGTTCACCATGGGGTTGGAGCCTGAGGAACTTTGGCAGGGTTGAGTGAGCCCACTCCTCCTCCTATGAGGCTGGCTTCCTGCCTTCTCTTCCTGGCAGCTGAGGCTTCTGGCCAGGAGTTGAAGGGTCCAGCTCTGAGGGGCCACTTGGTGAGCCTTGCATTGCTGTAGGGACTGGGCTTTGAGGGACTAGGGCAGGAGGTGCCAAGGAGAACCAGAAAGCTGAATTCTGAGCCCTGCAGTCTTGATAATGTCTGGATTCCAGTTAAGGCAGGTATTACACAAACCAATAAACTCTTCTGTATGAAGGGGCCTGTAGCTTCCTCAGCAGCAGTTTACGGCAGCAGAGACAAGTAATCAGAAAATATCAATACAGTGTTCCAGATTAAAGAAAGGATATGGTAATACCAGAACACAGGGGAGGGTCAAGACTGTTCCCTCCAGTAGCTTTAAACTCTCCTGTACACTGAAGACTCCCAACTCTCTGCTCAGCTTGTACATCTCATGAGCTCCAGACCCAGGTCTCTACCATCCATCGGGCCATCTCCATCCAGATTTTCAGGAAGCACCTCAAACTCAACACGGTCAAAACAAAAAGCATTTTTTTCAACCACCTCCTATTTGGGTGGTGGTGGGTAGGGTTGCCAGATAAAATATAGGATGCCCAGTTAAATTTGAATTTCAGAAAAACAATCATTTTTTAATATAAGCATGTCTCATTTTTTGTTGTTTTGTTTGCTTGCTAAATCTGGCATCACTGGTTCCTGAAGGCAATGACTTCCAAGCTGATCTCTGGAGGAAGAGTACCTATCATCTGGGGGACATGGAGGGGAGGCATGGAGCGAAGGGCAGAACAAGCAAAGGGGTGGCCTGGGTAAAAACCCACCAGCAGGAGAGATCGTGCAGCTCAGGGGAACTGTCTTCTCTCATGTGGCTAGCCTGTGGCACTTTCCAGTAGAGGAAGAATAGGGAGGGTGACAAGAGATGTGGTTGAAGAGGTCAGCCGAGCACAGGTCACTTGTGGTCCCTCCTGAAGATGTGGAGCATTATCCTAAGAGCTACAGTTGGGTGGGGGCCTCTGAAAGTTTAAGCAGTGGAGTTTCAAGGTCAAATTTGGCTTATAGAACGATCTCCCTGGCTGCACTGTGAAAACTGGATTAGGGGTGTGGGTGGGAGGCAAACTGTAGACAGGAAGGCCAGTTAAGAAGTAATCACAATAATTTTGGCAAGAGATGATGTAACTTGAACAAGAATAGTGGCAGTGGAGAGGGATAACGGTGGACAGAGGAAAGAGATCAGGGAGGTCAATCCACCTGTTTAGGTGTTAGTGTGGGAGAGAGAGGTGCTGACGATCTGCCCTGCTGGTGGTGACTGGCAACCTCAACACTCTGCTTTGGGCAGGAGTTGGGGCCACTTACTGAGACTTAGAGGAGAGGAGCAGGAAGTGGAGATTTGGGGGGAGTAGGAAGAAATGGTTTTGTTTTGAATGTGCTGAGTGTGAGGTGCCTCATTCGGAAGGAGGTGACCAGATGGCAGTGGGGAGAGGGGTCTGGAGCTCATGAGAGGTATGGGCTGGGCATGGACAGTTGGGAGTCTTCAGCGTGCAGGAGGGTTGGAGGTTGCTGGAGTGGTGAAGCTCACCTGTATTGCTAGGACTATTGTCGGAATCCTGCTGATGAAGCCAATTGTAGGGCTATGGGTAGGGCCCACAGACCCTTCAAACCCATTGTACAGACTGGGTTGCAGACCTCTCATGTGCCGTCTGCAAGCCAGACTGGGTCACCAGATCCCTCACATACAGGTCCATGAGCTAGGTAATCAGGAAAGATCCCTAGAGCCTGTTGGCAGATGACATAAGCACAGTCCTCAGCTTCCTCAGCAGCAGCAGCAGCGGCAGTGTGGCTGGGTCACCAGATCCCTCACATACAGGTCCATGAGCTAGGTAATCAGGAAAGATCCCTAGAGCTTGTTGGCAGATGACATAAGCACAGTCCTCAGCTTCCTCAGCAGCAGCAGCAGCGGCAGTGTGGGGAAAATATAGGAAAATGGTCAGGGCCCCTCAGATGTTCAGAATCTTGCCAAGCATTTGATGTAAATATGCATGTGCGCCCACGTGTTCCTTGGTTATTGTCTAATATAGTTGCGCATGTGTGCCCAGGTGTCCTGGGTTATGGACTTAAGTATGAAGGGTGAGTGGCTCTGATCCACAGGGACCCCACCCCCCGGGATACTCCCGGGGAGGCTACGGGGAGGCCACTACTTGCCTACTGGCACTGTTGCTGCCAGTGCGCCCGGGACCCTCCGAGAGGCCACCGCCACCACTGGACCTGTAAGCTGCTGCTGCTGTTGCTGAGGTCTGAGCTTGTGTCATCTGCCAATGGTTCCCAGGATCTTTCCCAATTACCTAGCATGGACCTGCATGTGAGGGGTCTGGTGACCCAGTCTGTACAATGGGTTTGAAGGGTCTGAGCCTTAGCCCTGACAATACAAAGGGAAAACTAAAATAATGTGACATTATAAATTATAAAGTGTAACTAAAATAATGAAACATTTCGGCTTCAGTTATGAATTGCTTTAATAATACAAGTGGCATAGTCATGTAGCTTTATAGGCGGCCTCTCAGAGAGTCCCCAGGGCCCTAGCAGCAACAGCCTCCAGCAGCAGTAGCAGACTCCCTGGCTCCCAGAGTGCCGGGAGAGGAGATGTTTATGTTGGATAAGAGATGGATTAACTTTGCAATAAACTTGGACGAGGTCTAACTCATCATTAGAGGATTGCTTACCTTTAAAGAACATATAATTGGCTAGAATTAAGACAGTGTCTGCTTTCAGATCCTGGACAAGTGTTCCAATTTTGCCGTGGGTTTTCTTCCTCGTGAAGTGGTCCATCTGATCTCTGGCCATCTGGAAGTTCTTGAAGCAGGCGAAGGAGACCTCTGTGAGGTACAGATTCTGGGCGAGATCAGCGAACTTCGGTAGCACTATTTGCTTCTGGCCCACAAACAGTATGCTGCCCGTGTCTGTGCGGCACTCCCCAGCGGGCGGCAGGAGGCCACGGAGAAGCTGACTGTAGTGCACGTGGGCCTGGTTGTCTGGGACCCTGGTGGGGCTAAACCCCAGACCCTGCAGAACCTGGGTGTGGACGTCTGCGTTGGCCTTGAGGGCCAGCAGAGTGAGGGGGATGGTGAAGCTCAGTGGGGAGAAGAGAACGTTCCTGCTTGGATTTGGGGCTACCATATGTCGGTACAGGCGGAAGGCAAAGTGGGAATTGTTCAGGAACGTCGAGGAGGCTGGCGGGGTCACTGCAGTTGGATGATTTTCCTGGTCAGGAGCCCCTTGGCCACAGGCATGAAGACCCAGCCCGGACACCAGCAGCCAGAGGGACAGAATGGGGTGCGCCATCCTAGACAAAGGGACACAGTGCATCAGCCAGCTGGGCCATGCAGCCCCACAAGGTGCATGGCCCTAGGGGGCTTCCTGCTGCTGTTGTCCTCTAGCGAGCACCCACGGGCTCAGCGCAAAGGGAGCAGGGAGTCCTCGAGTAAAGCATGGGCTGTGGAGTCAGATAGACCTGGATTCGAATCCTGACTCTTGCTTGCTCAGCTGTGTGATCTGACAGCTTCCTTCTCTGCCCCAACAGTAATCCCAGGTGTAAATGGAGCTAAAAACACCTGTGAGGACTGTGTGAGGCTTGATGTGAGAACAGGGTGGGCAAAACACCACAGGTGTTCAATGAAACTGCTCGAGTGTAGATGTTAGGGGAAAAAGCCAACACTACCCTGCAGGCTTTTTTGATTTTAGTTATAATACTGTCTTCTATTTATAACACGTTCTAAATATAATATTTACAATATAAAGGAAAAA